TTTTCGGATCTAATTGGGACAAGTCCTAGATCTACCGGTCGATCAGGATCGACGTAATGGGCATCCTTGGTCTATGCATACATTGAAGTATGTTAGAAAATATCAATATAAAATCTCATATATGACAATATATTATTTAATATATTGCATGATATCTTCCAATATATTGCAATATATTTTTCTTTCGTAAGGGCCCCCCCCTCCCCCGCGCTTATTTTACCAATTAACGTGTTATATTGTTACTATAACCGTTTTTAACATGGAAGAATGACGTTATAACAGCTTGAATTGGAATCAAATGAACACAAAGAAAACAGTATTTTATCATCTTTCATATTTATTGTTTCACCGTCGTCCTGCATTCATGCGTCACAAATTCGCTTGTCTCTCGTCGAAACACAAGGCAATTGGCGAGCTGTTGCTGCTCCCTAGTGGTATGGGAAGGTACTACATGATTACTTTGGTAGGGTACTACATGATTACTTTCTGGGCGAAAGACCGCACAGGCATACAAATTGGATATTTTCCCGCGGCACACCTGACAATGTCTCGCGGCACACCAGTGTGCCACGGCACACGGGTTGAAAAACACTGGTGTAGGGGATCTGTCCATTTCCTGATGGCCCTCCTTGGACACAGGTTCATTTATTTCTCTATAAGGTGGAAGAAGACCCAACATCACGTCGTCTTTTCTGCAGTTTATCACAACACAATACGAATGTATTCGGGCTTCTGAGAGTTTCAAATTTCCCCAGGAAGCAAAAGAAAAATACAGTCTCACGTTTATATAGGTGTAGTATATTAATGAGGGGCGGACAGTCATTCCCCTTATGTAAAAATCAGAAACAAAGAAAGGTCAATCCAGTTCGATCTTGTGATGAGGGCAAAATCCAGACTTCCCTTGCTGTTCATAAATCCGAAGAAACTTGTCAGCCTAGGGCAGGGGTGGCCAACCCATAGCTCGCGAGCCGCATGCGGCTCTTTGGCTGGTTCAATGTGGCTCCCGAGCTTCCACACGACAAGCGTCAGAAATGCCTCGGCAGTGGCGATGCCATTCAAACAAGGTGCTAACTACACAGAACGTACTACGTTAGCCTATCATCAATCCCGTTACTTGATTGACATAGAGGGCAACCAATCAGATGACTGCATCACCGCTCATGCGCAAACAACGGCGCTAAGATAGTCAGCTATCATCAATCTCGTTACTTCATTGACATAGAGGGCAACCAATCAAATGACTGCATCACCACTCGTGCGCAAACAACGGCGCTAAGCTAGTCAGCGAATTACCTCTGATTTTAAGACAGGGCTGCCCAATACGTTGATCAGAATCGACTGGGACCCAGCGAACTGGTCCCAAGTCGACCACAAGGGGTGGGAGGAGGAAATGGGTGGGAAAAAAAAAGATTTGTTTTGTATCTTGAGCTTTCATTCATTTTCCGCCCGTTCCGACTGTTGCTCGTCGTGGTGTGCGTGCCGATGTGCGCGCGCGCTCGGGCGCGCGTGTGGGGGTGTGTGTGTGTGTGTGTGTGTGTGTGTGTGTGTGTGTGTGTGTGTGTGTGTGTGTGTGTGTGTGTGTGTGTGTGTGACTGTGTGTGTGTGTGTGTGTGTGTGTGTGTGTGTGTGTGTGTGTGTGTGCTTGCACAAGCGCGATCGGGTCGTTCGTGAGAAGTTGGTCGCTTCAAAAGTCGATCTTTGGCCAAAAAAGTGTGTGTGTGTGTGTGCGTGTGTGTGTGTGTGTGCGTGTGTGTGTGTGTGTGCGTGTGTGTGTGTGTGTGTGTGCCCGCGCGTGCGTGAGGAAGGGTAGGATGTGGCTCTTTGCAGTAACACAGTAAAAAAATTGGCTCTTCGTCTCTGACTGGTTGGCCACCCCTGTTTTAGGGACTCAGCAGAGATGGGGGTGCGAAAGAAGACACTTGGGGGCTGTTAATCACACAAGGGGGAAGAGGATATAAGATAAACACTACATTCTTTGTTTTAACAGATGTTCAGGAAAGAGACTGTGATCAATAGTACTCATAACAAGGCGAAATTCCTCCACATCATCAACACAGATACTTGAGATAAACATGTCCTCTGGAGAGGTCCAAAAAGTGGTGGGGGTCGAGGGGCCCTAAAGGTGATTTTAATCAGAGTGAGCAGTAAATACATTCAACATTGTACATTCTTTCTTTCTTTCAGATGCAACTAACAGAGAGGAATAATTCCTGAACAATGGTCACTTACATCACAAACTAATAATCCACTTTTTATCCTCATTTATTTCCATAAATAGTATCAATCAATGTTGCACTCTCCTTCGTTAATCACCTTGGTTTAAAGATTAGGGGATCAAAACTCAAACTGAGCATCGTATTCATTAATTCGGGAGTCTTCATGTGATTATTCGATTTCAACAAATCAATGTTTATCGCACCCCAAACAAAAATTACCATTCCATGGTGTTTTGGATGGAATTCAGTAATCATTTTACCTCGGGTGTTCTATAAATGCAAACAAACACCTTTAACATACAACATTTAACCTCGAGAAGCTGTGGGGGAGGGGGATCTTGCTGAGATTTGAGGTTATCCAGTTTTGCTGATTATGCTCATAAAAAGTGCCTTAATCTTTTTTAAAAATATATTGCATCCTGCACATTGACGCTTTATTTTATGGAGAGCTGGCAACACAGTGTCTAACCAGCAGCCATCTTGGATAAATTTTTGGAATGAAGAGATACAATGATCACATTTGTGGTGTATTAACCACCATAGTTATTTGTATGTTGTTTGGACGCACTGAGTTTCCGTACTCTGTATTGCCATCTACTGCGCATGTGTAAAATGTTACCGTGAATGTCTCAGTCGCTTCCCCACGTTGTTAATGGCGGAACTCAACGGTCGAATGCATAATAGAAAACGCGTGTGTGTGCCTCGTCATTTCAAGACACAACATCTGGCGACGAGTAAAAGTCGATTTTAGGGTAGGAGGCAATACTCTAAAGTTTAGTGAGGTAAGATGGCTTACTTTTCTCAAAGACCGGACGAGTTTAAACCCGAAAATGAATCGTGGTCTGCCTATGTGGAACACATGGAACTGCTGTTCGAGGCGCATGCTGTCAACGACGACAAGAAAGTTGCCGTTTTACTGAGCTCCTTGGGCGCATCAGCATATGGACTTCTCCGTAATTTAGTGCAACCTGCCAAGCCCAGAGACAAGACTTTTGCGGAAATTGTATCCACGTTGAGGAATTACTATGAGCCCAAGCCATTGGTGATATCGGAGCGTTTCAGATACCGGAAATGTGTGCAGAAGAACAGCCAGACGGTTGCGGAATATGCCGCTGAGCTACGTCAACTCGCTACAAGGTGTGATTTCGGGGACAGAATGGACGAGGCTCTCCGTGATGGCTTCGTCAGCGGTGTTGCTTCGGAGGCTTTGCAACGCAAGTTACTCTCAGAAGATGGCCTGTCGTTTGCGAGAGCTGTGGAGCTTGCTGTCAACATGGAGGCTGCCCACCGGGATGCACAGCAGTTAAGAAAAGGTGAAGATGTCACCACACCTGTACACAAGGTTAAGGAAAACCAAAGGAGAGGACGCTCACCCACACACCAAAGTGGATGCTACCGATGTAAAGGCATGAATCATAGTGCAAATGACTGCTTCTACAAGACTTCAACCTGCCATCAGTGTGGTAAAGTTGGTCATATAAAGAAGGCATGTCGGGCTCCGGCACCTGCAGCTGACGATAAGGTCAAGAAAAGGGGGACGAAGAAAGGCAATGAGAGAAAATTTAGTAAAATGACTGGCTATGTGCAAACTGATGAAAAGAAAGATGATGATGTTCCCATGTTCCATGTCCACGTGTATAGTGCTAATGGCGGCCGTAGACCATACAGGGCCATTTTTGATGTAAATGGAAGGAAGGTTCCAATGGAAATTGACACGGGAGCAGGAGTCAGCATTATCTCTGAAAACGTGTATGAACGTTCATTCTCTCGTATACCACTAGAGGGAAGTAGTGTAGCACTAAAGGGCTACTTAGGCGAGACAATTCCTGTAAAAGGACAGTTCATGGCTAAAGTGAAGTATGAAAATCAGACTGTTGACTTGCCACTGATTGTTGTGGGAGTTGAGGGACCGTCACTCTGCGGACGAGAGTGGCTAGATAAAATAAAGTTAAACTGGGAAATGATCAAAACAGTCACAGAAAACAAAATGCAAGCATCTCCAAGAGCCAAGTCCATCCGAGAAGTACTTGCAAAACATGATGATGTCTTCACTGATGAGTTAGGGACATTAAAGGACATTAAGGCAACAATATCCGTAAAGCCTGATACAGTCCCTAAATTCCACAAAGCCCGTGTTTTGCCCTTTGCCATGAAAGAAAAAGTTGAAAAAGAACTGGAACGCCTTGAGAAAGATGGCGTCATCACCCCTGTCAAGCACAGTGAGTGGGCTGCTCCAGTCGTTCCAGTACCCAAGCGAGATGGTGGACTTCGCTTGTGTGGTGATTACAAGATAACAGTGAACCAAGCTATTAACACAGAGACACATCCACTACCACGCATCGAGGAGGTGTTAGCCACACTATGTGGTGGGAAAATATTCTCCAAAATAGATTTGGCTGCAGCTTATCAACAAATTCTTCTCGATGACGACTCAAAAAAATTTACTACAATCAATACACACAAAGGACTGTTTGTGTACAATAGACTGTGTTTTGGCGTCAACTCTGCTGTCAGTATTTTCCAAAGGATAATGGAGACTCTAATGAAGGACCTCAACGTGGTGGTCTACCTCGATGACTTGCTCGTGATGGGCCGAGACGAATCCGAGCACCTAACGAACCTGGACAGAGTTCTTCAGCGGCTGAAAGAGAATGGTCTGAGAGTGAAGAAGACTAAATGTGACTTTGGTAAGACGCAGATCGAGTACCTGGGACACGTGCTGGATGGAAAAGGTGTCTACCCGTCCAAAGATAAGGTCAGAGCCATTCATGATGCTCCAGCACCCACAAACACTAAAGAGCTAAGAGCCTTCTTAGGTCTCGTGAACTACTATGGACGTTTTGTACCACGCCAAAGTACAGTTTTAGCCCCACTTTACAGACTGCTGAAGGAGAAAACAAAATGGAAATGGAGTAAAGATGAGCAGAGCGCGTTTGACAACTGTAAAGAACTGTTGACAAGTGACAATGTATTAACCCATTACAACCCGCGCCTGCCACTTACACTCGCATGTGATGCTTCTGCTTATGGGATCGGAGCTGTCATTCAGCACACGACACCTGATGGGAAAGAACACCCCATCGCTTTTGCTTCTCGAACGCTCTCTCCAGCGGAAAAGAACTACTCACAAATAGAAAAGGAGGCTTTGAGTCTAGTGTACGGAGTAAAGAAATTCCACCAATACCTTTGGGGGCGGAAATTCGAATTGATAACCGACCACAACCCTCTCCTCGCGCTGTTTGGAGAACGCAAGGGACTACCAACAATGGCAGCAGCA